TTGAACTGTTCAAAAGAAATTTTTTTTCCTGTTCTTTAATGGATATAAGACTTCTGAAATTTCGTCATTTCTGTGCAACGGATACTGTTAATGAAAGGTTTCTATTTATAAGTTTAGGAGGAGTAAATAATGCAGATATGTTTGTAAATAATTCCATCATATTTTTCAAAGTTTCAATTTTAAAATATCTTCATTAGTGAAAAAAAAAGTGTCAGATGAATGACAACAATAATTTTCAAGATCTGTTCTATATTTTTAGTGATTAATGATTAAGAAAATTCCTTCAAATTGTTTTGAGCAGCCTCAGTACCAGAAGTTTTTAGGCTGTACAGAAAGAATTGGATTGCTTCCGCGTCTTATTTTCACGATTTCTACGCGCTAAAACCACTATTGAATGGAAAAAAATTCAACCACTGCCCGATAACGCAATTATATCCTATAAAGAGGTATTCGTTTCACACATCTGATTAATTCTATTTTATACAGTTTCACAATATATTATTATGATCTGCTTTTGATCCAGTGAGAAAATTAAAAGGTTTCCGTGTTATGAAACATGAGAAGATTTAGATGTAATGTGCGGCAGGTATTGTCTGTATTTGCAAATACACTGTATCGTTTTTCTTCGTTTCTTACCATTTTTCATTTCGTTGAGAAATTATTGCAGTTAAAGCTGCATGATCCAAGCAAAGATTTGGTGTCAGATCGCCTGAGCAAATTGGTTGTTGTAAAGTTAAATGGTGGTTTGGGTACATCAATGGGTTGTAAAGGTCCAAAATCTATGATTTCAGTTCGAAATGACCTCACATTTCTCGATTTGACATTGCAGCAAATTCAGGTTTGATCAAATTTCCTGGCACAAATTGATGAAAATATGAGTGTTTCAGAGTTTATTTCATTTTAATCATGAAAATTTCTGCTTATGAAGTTATATATGTCATCAGTCAACAAAACACAGTGACTTAAAAATTTCTTCAACGGTTTAGGTAGATTATTTAGTAGAAATAATATTATTCTATCAGAGCACTTTTTTCACTCAGTTTTACTTTTACTTTTCATTCATTCGTATTGACTGCTCATTTACGACATGAAAAATGTTTTACTTGCATCATACTTGCTGCACAGTTCAACTTCCTCACGAATAATGACAAAGGTGTTTTAAATATCAAATATAATTGTAATAGTGAATATGCTTAATAATAATGGCAAAATAAAAATTTTCCATGTATTTGTGCATGCTCACATGTATACGTGGTATTGTTAGATAGTATAACAGATTTCAGAACATGAATCGTACCTATGATGTTAATGTACCATTGGTTTTGATGAATTCTTTTAATACGGACGAAGATACGAAGAAATTGTTGAGAAAATACAAAAATGTGCAAGTCGATGTACACTCTTTTTGTCAGTCCAAATATCCGCGAATATTGAAAGAATCACTCATGCCGATTGTCAAAAATGTTTCTGATAGTGATCATGATGAGTAAGTTAGCTTACTTATATTATTACTGCACTTTGTGTTCCTTTTCTTTATTAAACCCATAAGCTTATTGAATTTTCCAAGCTATTAGCTTACTAAATTTTTAGGTGGTACCCACCCGGTCATGGTAATTTTTATGAAGCATTTTATAATTCTGGACTTCTGGACAAGTTCCTTCAGGATGGAAAACAGGTGAGATATTTCATAATGCTTTTGATATTTCGCATCGAATAATTTGTTAGATTTTAAAATTACTCAGGATAACTATAGTTTAGTTTGCTCTTATATATTCAGATAGATGTTTTAACACGAATACTAGAATTGTTTTTATTTAAATTTAAGCAAGTATTTGGTTATTCGATTTAAGCAAGTACTCAATATTTGGTTTGATGAAAATAAATCAAATTGTATGTTCATAATATAATCAGTTTAATAATTAGTTCTAACTTTTTTAATAATTTTGTAATATTTAGTTCATAATTTTTTATATATACATGCAGACATAAATAAGAAATTCAAATGTTCACTAGCATTCCATCTGAATTTATCTTTATTTCAGTTCTGCTTTCTGTCAAATATTGATAACATGGGTGCGACGGTTGATATGAATGTATTGAATTTCATTGTACAGGAAGTAAACGGTCATCAGCCAGAATTTGTGATGGAAGTTACTGATAAGACTCGAGCCGATATTAAGGTTAATTTATAAAATTTTCACAGTAAAGTTAATTTATTTTCTAATGAAATCGAAGCAATTATAGAAATTTTCTTGGTATGCTTTCGTTCAGTTATGAAGCCACTCTCTAAGATCTTCAGGGTGGCACTCTGATTCAGTACGAGGATCGGTTAATGTTACTGGAAATCGCTCAAGTGCCAAAAGATTATGTTGATGAATTTAAAAGCGTAAGCAAATTCAGGTTCGTTTAGTACCACACAAATTCAATCTTAGTTCAAATCAAGTGAAATACGCTACTTCAAAATACTTTAGGATATTTAATACAAACAACTTATGGGCCAAATTAAATGCAATAAAGCGAGTAGTTGAACAAAAAGAATTGGAAATGGAAGTAATTGTTAATCCAAAACATCTGGATCGTGGTGTTGATGTGATACAGCTAGAAACTGCTGCTGGTGCCGCTATCAAGAGTTTTAAAGGAGCATGCGGTATATCGTTTGAAATTGTTTATAATTTGCTTCTTGGGTTTCCTCGACTATAACAAAGATTGTTTTTAAGTTATTTTCTATTTTTCTTTTTGCAGGAATTAATGTCCCTCGTTCACGGTTTCTTCCTGTCAAGACTACCTCTGATCTCTTGTTGCTTATGTCAAATTTATATGAAATAGAAAATGGTAACCTAACATTAAGTCATCTTCGTTCCTTTCCAACAACTCCACTCGTCAAATTGGGCAGTTTTTTCGACAAAGTAAATCATTTTTTTGATGCTGTTCAGTTCTGTTTTCAAAACATGGTTATATTTGGTATATGGGTTCATTCTAAGATCAATATTATTTGGTGTTATTTTTTTTTAATGTTGATTATTTGTTACATCAAAAAGGCTTTTCTTAACCAAATCGAACAGACTAATTTTATTGTTCATTTTTAGGTACAGGAATATTTGAGACGTTTCCAGGGTATCCCAGATTTGCTGGAATTGGATCATTTAACAGTATCTGGTGATGTATGGTTTGGCAGGGATGTTGTATTAAAGGTATTTTTTTGTCATATTCATCTGTTGGGAGTTCCTAATCGTAGAGAAGATTTTATTTCTCGTTTTGTTCAAAATTTTGAGTCATTAATTACTAAGTATATGTTTTCAAAAACTGTTAATCACTTCATACATTTTTTTCAATCCTAAATCATTTATGAAAATTTCTAGTGTTTCATTTTCACTGAATATTATCCCAAAAGTATGCTTGGGTTTTAGGGTACAGTGATAATAATAGCGAACCATGGTGATCGTATAGATATTCCACCAGGAACCATTCTTGAAAACAAGATTGTTTCTGGGAATCTTCGAATTTTGGACCACTGATAGCTTTTCAGTGAAGTACTATAAGAGATCGTCGTCATGCGGATTCTTTTTCTTAAAATTAATAGAAATTCGAACTTTTTTGAATACTGAAATTTAGTCATACGTTGCAAAAATCATTTCTTTATGTGAAACTATGAAAGTTTATTTGCTTTTCTCTCGTTAGGTTTTCCCTTTCTTTTTTAAATCATTCAGTTTTTGATTTGGCAATCGAAGCTTAAATGTGTTCAAGTGTTTTGGAGCGTTGAACAAATTGATGAATAAGTAATTGTATGCTAATTCTTTCTGACTATGAACAATAACTTTTTCAAATAACAATCATTTATCTTTTATAATTGGGTAGATCCAAATAAGAGGAAGCAGCCAAAAGACATAAAAATTATGATTGACTTTAGTGCTGTAAATCTACTCATTTACAACTATCGTTTCTTATCTCTGATAGCACTCTGCATAGTTGAAATTTACAAGTTTTAAAAACAGTGATTCCACTGATGAAAATAATTTGACAATTCTCCCGAAATCCTGGAAATTGACATATTTTTTTAATGGAAGCATTCATCAAGCATTGTACTGCTGACAGGACCCGTGGGAGAGCTAACAGAAAGAAATCAAAAGATAGATGATCACCGTTAATTTTCGTTCTATGAGCAGCTCAATTGTAGTTTATTTTGTTATAATGATTTGTATAAAAATATGCTTTTGCAAAAAGATACATATGTAGTTTATTTAGATTTATCGCTGTAGCATGTCAAATATTTGAAGAGTAGTTGAAATAAATTTGACTGCGCATCCTTTGTGGTGTTCTCATCTTTAAATCAATCCTTCCGTTTTTCTTTTGTGATATTTCAAATAAATTGTAATTGTACAATGACCTATATGTAATCTTTTTTCCAACTTATCACAGTTTTAGTTCTAGCACATATGTGGTTTTTTTCATTTGACATTTCGTTGATTCACATCTCTTATCTACTTCAGGCTTGAAAACAAGTTTGAATAAAATAAGTATGTTTAATTCAAAAGAAAAAAAAGTGTACAGTTTTTTGTAAGATCCTATCCTTCATTACGTGTGTAAATTCCAGAAACCTTCCATTTCAAATTTTTTACAACAGATAGAGAAGTGCTATTCATGTTTAATTGCATGAAGCCTCTTGCGAAAAATAAACATTTTAGTGTAACCCCTTAACAACATAGTATTTATAATTATGCTCATTTCATGTTAGGATCATGAACAATTTTATGCATCAATGCATCATACATAAATGGTATTTGCAGTGTGATTATTACAAGAAACCAGGCATTTATACAATTTTCTTGAACTGTTATTGACCTGTTACATTTAAAAATAGTGGTGTATAAAAGCAAAGTCTACAAAACTATCTGTTTTTGTGGTCACTTGACCACAGCTTTTTTATTCATTGACTTCTTTTCATTTATAATTGCGTTTCTTTCCGAGAAATTGTGAACTCATACATTTTACCAACAATGTTCTTAAACAACAACAAGTGCAAGTATTAAAATAGCGAGCAGACCAAATGCAATTATCGCGACTATTGTCCACAGCAGTTGAGCTATGCCGGCACACCAGAAATTTGTTTTACTTGACTTTCGCATTTCCTTACTTCGGTATTTTTGTTGTCGGATCATTGCCTGAAATGACAGTCGTTTTTATTTGCATGAATTACTACCGATACTATCAGCTTATTTTAGTATGATCCAACAGCAGGATCGAAGTGATTAATCAACCGTTTGCCGGAATGCCAGATTATTTTATTACTCATTCTGTTCAAGCTACCTGCTAATTATTTTGATGCAGTCAAATATTTGGTGCTCATTACGCAGCATTAGCAAAACAGTGATCTTCCATCATGATCCATCTCGGTAATTGTTCTTCGTGGCGCTATACACACCTAAGATGGGGACGATTGTTCCTCAGGGAATTCGATTATATTTAACGGAATATGATTTATACCGGAGTGTGTGAAGTCATATAAATCATATTTTAACTTACCGTTGCATTCGAGTATTGAGACAGATATGGTAAGGATGGATAATACCGCGGTGGTGATGAAGTGAAATAATATGGCATGAACGGTTGTTGGGAAGCATGCCATAATTGTGGGATTGCGGGGAAAGAAAGAGCCTGTGAATTGTACAGGATGAGGTCTTTGCTTTCTTCCATGCTATCGTTAATATCATTGAAATGCATACACCTGGTAATTAAATAGGTCTAGTAAGAGAGGAAATATAAACAAATAATAAAACAATGCTAATTAAGTTTGCAGTCATCTCAATAATATCACCAAATCTCAAGAAAGACCCAAAAAATATGAAAAAATGATGCAGTCAGTCACTGTGTCCTTCAACAAAACGGAACATACCGCAATGAATAGAAGATGATAAAGAAATGGAACGAAGCGCAAGTTAAACCGTCTTGTCAAATTAATTACCTGGTGCAATATGAAAGTAAGAATGCTTATGTCGCATACCTACCTGTTTAGAATAAATTAATGGAATTCCTCTGCAGATTTTGTGATCCATTTCCACAACTTTCTACTGACCAATTGCTAGAAGTACACTGAGCTAATTTTATTTGATGAATTTTCAAAAGTAACTTACTTAGGGGATAGATGATGGTCATTTTTGGTTAGTTAATTTTCTTTGGTCAGACAGTAAACAGGATTGAAATTGTACTTAGGAAAAGCTTGATAAGAGGTAAGAGGAGAGTTGAACATGCAGTGAATTGATGCGAACAATTTATTTTGGAATTCGATCAAATTCAATGAAGCACACAATATTAAGTGAATTTGGTTTTGAAATTGAATTGAAAAGAAAAAATTTTCAACGAATCTGCTGATCTGATTTTGTGAATTACATTTTGAAAAAACCCTGAAGAACAATTAACCACTTATTTAGCGAAACTATTAATGAATATTTATAAACTTTCAGATATTGTTCAGACATTTCTGTATTCAGAATTATATCCATGATTTCCAACTGTAATTTTTCTTACATTGTTTTGTTGTACTAGAAGAATATTATTATTTAATATGTGATTAACTCTATGATTTCAAAATGTAATTTTCAAATTATAAATAATTTCCAATTAAATGTTGTAGGAAAATCTTTATTCTGTACTTACTGAATACTATAAATAATATACATTCAAGAAATATTCATAACACTCGTTATCACAATTACTACGATTCTATGTAATATCATTCTTCATAAAATAAATTTTGTAACAATGATTATAGAGACTACTTTTTTGTAATAATAATACCTAAAATTTATCCATTCTTCACCAAATGAGTAAAACATCATCTTGAAGCATAAATTATCATAAAAAATAACATACCTATGGTGACGTAGTGCGTGTTGCAGACGTATTAACATAACCAATTTGTCTTTATAACTATAAATAAAGTAGTACAGGAAGCAGAAACTACTATACATCAAAATGATAAGTCATTACACCTGATCCATCCCATATCGTCACATTCAGTTTTACAGAATAAAATTACTGAACAACTTACCAAAAAAATCTTATTTCTTCAACCAAGAAAAAAATACATTAAAAAATCGTCCTACTGTCTAACATGCCGTCTCGCCCTTTGCTTCTACTGCTTTGCCTTCTTCATATCGTGATAAAATACCAAGAGACGAAAGCAAAGTATGAAAGTAATACACTATTAATTTTGGCATCGGTGATAATTTTACAGTGAACTTCAGCTGAATAACAAACGTTCAGCGACATTTCATATTAGTAAGTATTGAGATTGTGTTGAAATCCCTTATATAGCTTATTATTTTTAAAGGCAGCAATGTATAGCACTTTAGATTTGGTGAAGTCAGAAAAGATGTGTCAGGAAAAAGCTGCCTTTATAACCAAAAACAACATAAGTCATCATTTCACAAAAAAAAAAAAATAAAAAATATATGCAGAAGAAAAAATTACATCATTTAAGAAACAGAACGCAATAAATGAAGACATCAAAAAAAATCATTTCATAATTAAGCAATAGCAATACATAAAATAAACAGTAGCATTAATTTATTTTCTTTAAATCATTTTCAATGGGTGCTTCCTTAATGAATGGTATTAGTTCCTTGTAGGGATGTGGCATAAATTGTCTTAGAATTTCCGGAACACGTATACCATTTTCTTCTTGATAATTTTCCAATAACGCACATAATACACGTGTAGTTGCACACATTGTACCATTCAACATATGTACGTAAGATACCTACATACGATAAATTAATATGTTTACACCAAGTAAATCAAGAAGAATTTCTATCAAAATCAAAGAAGAAGACTCGAAACAATGAGTATTATCATAGATAAAGAAAAATTTAACCAAATATCTTCAAACTTAGTGAAACCTCTTGAACACCAGGAATGAATTTTCTATAGCATAACCAATTAAAGAAAGAACATACTTCACCATCCAACTTTTTCGTTTTCCCATAACGAATTTTCAAACGTCGAGCTTGATAATCGGTACAATTCGAACAAGAAACCAATTCTCTGAACAATGTTAAAGGAAAATTCGAAAAAGTTTATAGAGTAAGACACAATTTTTCAACAGAATCTGAGAATAAAAGAATAGAAAGAACCTGAATGCGGCACTGCCTGGAAACCACGCTTCTAAATCAAGCTTTTTCGCCGCAGCATTATTTAGTTCTCCCGAAACAATGCATACAATTCGAAATGGTATACCAAGTGCTTTACAGAAATCTTCAGCATTTTCAACCATCTATAAAATCGATACAATTGCCAGATTGTGGGAAAATAATGTAAAATCGACAAGATTACTTAATCCTAAGGTCATATTCAGTCCCCACTTTTACATATGAAGTGGTATGATGCCTTCTACTTTTATTATTGTCATTATTTTTAAGCCATTAATAATTTCCTTTAAATGCAAGTAATTGTTGCTGTGGGTGAAATTTCTGTTGTTAATATAAGAAACGAAATTCGAAAATTTTTTAATACTCACTTATCGTTCTGTATGGTAATTTAAGATTCCTTTAAACAATTACTGTATGATAATTTAAGAGGTTTCATACTCAGAATTCAAATAAAAAACAACCACTCAATTATGTCACTATCAAAACTTATTTTTGCAATGTTCGCTGAACCAGTTTGCAAGTCCACAAAATCCTTTCATTTGCAGGAATTTTTTAACGCCATAAAATGCCAATGCTATTATTTGTATTCACACAACGATATTTGTAGCTCAAAATTGCTAGCTCTATCATTTCAACACGAAAAAAAAGAAAATTTACCTCATCAAGTATTCTCCAACTTTCATCATCATATGGAGAACAAATGACAAATTGCTCAACTTTTTCAAACTGATGTACTCGAAACATACCACGAGTATCTCGCCCATGACTTCCAACCTACAAGTTCTAGATCGAGTAAAACTGTGGGATCATGCATGGCGTCAAAAAATGTGCCTACCTCTTGGCGGAAACAAGACGATATGCCGGCATATTTAATTGGCAAGTCAGCTTCACTAATCCATTCGTTTCGGTGATAAGCTGCAATTGGCTGCTCGGATGTAGCTATGAGGTATTTCTCGTCATTGGTTTCGTCACCGATAACTTCAGAACTTTTCCCAGTAACCTGTTACAGTGCTATGTATTACCGGAAAAAGACAAAAGAATTAGAAATTAAAAGCGGCATGGCTATTATTTTAAAAGACACCTTGTATAACTCCTGATCAAACTGATTAAGTTGTGCCACTTCTTGCATCACTTCTTTACGCATGAAGAATGGAGTGTAAAGAGCAATGAAGCCTTTACAGTGTAGCATTTGTAAAGCAAAATTGATAACTGCTTGCTCCAAAAATACTAACGGACCCTAAATAAAAGCAAGTATGGTCGCAAAACCTTCTACAGAGAAGAAAAAAAAACTTGAATCAATATTAACAATGAAATAAGCGAACTTTCAAAAAATAACCGCGACCACCAGCGACAGAAGTTCCACGATCACCATCAAACCCATCAATCATCATACAAAGATCTATCTGAAATGTGAAAAATAAAGTAATTACGCAAAATAAATAAATAGGGTTATGAAATACTATAACAGCATGGAAATCAATTTTTGAGGAATATCATTCAGAGAAAGAAATCTATATATGACTTGTTACAAAACATCTTTTTTACGAAAACGTAAATTGTAATTTGAGAAATGATTCAAACTAAGCATTCATTTAAAAGACCATGTGACGCACGCCAATAATAATGCTCTCAAGTAGTTTAATTTTAATTAACCTACATGTGAGTATTTCTTTTTAGTTTTGATGTCACCAAAAGTCTTCTCCACTCTATTATTGTCTTCGTTATCACTGATCGGCACCGTGGGATGTATAATGTTGCCTATCTGAATAAGCCTTTGATGGCGTTTTGCTTCAAGCTTCTCCATTTCTCTCCTTTTTTCCACCAGCTTCTGATCAATTGTGCTCTTTAGTTTTTTGATTTGTGATATTTTCAAACTCTGAAAATAAAGTTAAATAATGAAAATGCTATTTAAACAAAACAAGAAAGTTCGCAACTTGTTAAAGAGTTATTTATAAATTTGTTTCATATCCCATCGAATAAATTATTACAATAAGTATATTGCTATAAGCAAATATAAATTATGGCAATAACGGAAACAACTGTAGTAATATAAATGCAAATTAAATTAAAGGATTGCCACCTTTATATCATCAGCACAAAGTGCTTCTAGGCGTTCCATATAATCGATTGGTACGGTATCATCATCAGCTACTGATTCTTTTTTCTAAAATCTTCACTGTTCATATTGATAACGACAACACTATTGAGCATCAAATAAATAATACAAACGTGCCTTCATTTTTTCTCCAATGACTTTGCTGCACAAATTGATCAACCTGTTGAAATTATCTGTGGAAAAACGATCTGGAAAATGTAATTAAATAATTACATTTTGAGAAATCAAGGATTTTTTAAACAAAATGCTTTAATGAAACGAGACCAAATATCAGTTAGCAAGTCTTGCCGTCCATAATCCATCCTCTATTAGAGCGCTGAAAAAAAAAAATTAAATATATACAAAAATGGAATTTTTGCCGCCTTGAGTTATTCACTAATTTCAAATATTCAACGATCTTATCAAGAAACAATCTTGAAATTTTCTTATAT